GCCTTACCGCTCTTCAACCGACCTGTCTGACATGGTGGAACCTTGAGGAACGGTTGTTCTAGCCCGTATAGCTCGACTGCTTCATCACGATAGGCAAGCCCGACCACCTCGTCAAGATAGCAACAACGGTCGGGAACATCTATCAGTTTAAGCATATGATAGCACATATATGATTGATCCTATCAAAAGATAATTCGAGACAGACGACACCCACTTTCTTGTTGTAATCAAGGATAGGACTCTACGTAACTGCCCCAGTCAGCAGATTGGTGGCACGCGAATAGATCTTACTGAAACCGCTAAGTTAGGGAGAAAAATAGTCTATAGGTAGGAATCAGTTTCATACCAGAGATTTTACAACCTTTGGGGCATTTGAAAGGATCATTAAATCAGCCAGGTCAATAAGTCTGTGTTCATATGCGCGATGGTTACAGCAATTGACTGCATTGCAAGGACCCAGGTGAAACAATTCAAATTTCAGTTCTTAATTCTAATACTAGCAAGTTCACTATAGATTGATAGCCGCTAAAACTTCCGTATTTTTACATCCCTCCATGTCTAAGCTCCTTTAGACCCGTAAACCGTTGTCACATTATTTATGATTCCATATTTATCGTTAATTAATTGTTTCTCTTTTAGTCATGCTTTGTGTCACTTTCAACTAAGTTATGTACACGTTGTAATTCACTACTAGTGTTAAACTAGTATCAAACATTTCAGGTGTATTATCTCATGGGTTTTGAGTCATGATTAAGTGGATTACAATAAAGAACTAATGTATTTTTTATCTTTATCTTCTAGTCAGATGTTCGGTTAGGGGTAGCTTGTGGACTATTGTGCTTGAAGGTTTTACTGTTGTCCATCGATCAATGTTTCAGTTGTTAAATAAGGTTACTATCCCTACTGTCAGCATGGGCGAACTAATTGACAGTCACTTTGGGGAGAGTTATCATGCAACTGATCCCCTGTAATTACGCTCTGACCAAAGGCTCCAACAATACTTATCTATGTACGTGTCTTTCCGACTATATCACACATTTACGATAGACTGTGTAGATCTCACGAGATTAATTTGATTGCAGTTATTCTTTCGATCGACACTCGAATTTTCGTCAAAATCACAATATTCCTCTATTAATCATTGTTTCTGCAAATTAGCCAGATTCATATACTAGCTTGTAATTTTGTTCTAAATATCAGCGTGTAATCATTTCACCACTTAACTTTGTTCCTATTTTCTATTTCTGATGTTCTTTTCTACAAAATTACTCATCACTGTAAAAACCAATACAAGAAATGATCTGATGTACGAATGACAGAGTCTATTCAATTTTTGAATTTTAGTTAGATGTGACAATTAAGCACCATTTGTTTTATAACTTTACCCAGGTAAGTCGGTCTTTCTCCAAGGTTTTGAAGCTGACGAAACAGACTTTCAGACACATTCTTGATCAGAGATCAGCATAATCCAGGCATTTGAAATGTTAAAATGAGATAGTACGAAATGGATCGAAAACGAACAGTATCTAGTTTGTTTTAAGTAAGAGCTTTCATAATTATTCTTCAATCGACTCTGTTAATTCCACCCGATTTGGAAATAATACTATTCACCCATACTAAACAAATAGAACACTGCTAAGCCATCTTATTAAATTGTTAAATCAAAAGTTGGCTTGACGATTCGATCGATGAATTTCTCAACTAATTGAATCTCGATTGGATCGTACAGTAATATGTGCGTCGTGTTTATGATGCATAAATGACTGCAAATAGTGTGGTTGTTTATACAGTCGATCATTATTTGATAGTTGGCCATTTCCGAATTCGTCAGCAATGCTAAATGCAGTCACTTTTTAGCTTCTATCTCCATATTTATCATTATCTGACGAATGGTGACCAAGTAGTTGAATTTCGATCGTTACAGAGAGTGTGAGGACTTCTTAGTGTTGTGAAGATATTCTGAACTCATTGGCACATTAGGTTGCTTTAGTTTAACAAATGAACGGTACTAACGAAACAGACACCATTCTGAACTTCGTATATCTCCATTAGTTAACGACGTAAATGCAACATAGAAATATAGATCTGAATACGAGTGTCACCAATCATCGTCGCTGCCCCAAACACATGATGCCGAACCTCTGCATTACTGACATGGTGTTGCCACTGAATGTCAGCGATCCTTCGGAGACAACGATGATCAAACACAGAGAGTCGTGTAACACCCTCAACTCCGAGAGGCCAGGTTTCACTAGCATAGAGCAAAACTGCTCTTATTGACACGTTGTAGATCCGACCCTTTACAGCCAGACTGACATCACGAAGGCGCCAAAGGTGGCATAAGCCACTCTAGCTTTCACTATGAGTTCATTGGCCTCATCACTCACGCCACCATCAGCACTTATGCAGCTACCTAGATACACGGACTTCTCGACTACTTCTATCTGCTCACCATCCAGGGTGAGTACAGGATTAGAATCCTGCCAGTCTTGTAGAAGTACTTTGCACTTTGAAGGTGCGAAGCACATACCGTACCTACGGACATTGATTGCCAACTGATCAATTGCGGATTGCATGGCTTGGACATTATCGCACAGTAAGACAATATCATCCGCATACTCAAGGTCGAGAAGTCTTTCTCCAGGCAACCGACCCACACTGCCATTATTTACATCCATCAGAGCCGTTTCCAGAATGTTGTCGATGGCAAAGTTGAATAGGAATGGTGAGATCGGGCAACCTTGCCTAACCCCACTTCCAAAAGCCATTCTATTGATTTGGAAATCGGGCATCAGCTGAGTCTTTCATCCGGTTCAGTAACATTATTGAAATCTTAACCCGGTACTGACAGTAGCGTGATCCATCTGTAGTATTCACAAGTATTAAAATCAATTTTGCTCTTTTTTTATGAGGCATTCATCGTTTCAGTCTGCTGATACTTGCGTTTCCCACAAATGTTTCTGAAGAGAACGTCAGATATCTTCACACTTGTTTGTGTATCTGACATCAATGCTGACTGATCTTCCCACTTCACCCCTCTTGATTTTTCTGACAACCTTGCTAATTCACCCTATTGTTGGTTAAGTTTCATTGTGAAAGACTCTCTGTGGGTAGTTTGGTTTATAAATACCCATAGCTGAAACGTCACCCGAATGACGTTTTTCTGCTTGCGTTATGAAAAATGATGAGGAGAACGTTCAAGTGCCAAATAATTTATTTCGAAGAAATTAATTAGCTCATTAGTAATGTTAAGTGTGCAGATTATAGTTTAGTGAGGAAAAGAAAACAGCGGTTATAATATGCGAGATATATTCAACGTCTAGATTTTGCTCTCTTCTGTTATGGAAGTATGGTCTGTTGATTCGTTCCTCACGTACAGCCCTAAGTAACAAACCCTATCTCACTTTAGGTAACAAAGTTTTTTCGTAAGATACAAGTAATCTACCCAAACATATCTTTCTTAAAATAATTATAACAAAAAGAGAGCAGAATTATTATTAAGTTTGCAGAGCACAAAATTACAAACCAAGAACTGAGTGAAAGTACAGTTAAAGGTATGAGCAAAGAAGTTTAAAATTTGAGAAATATAGAATGTATCCGGAACGCAATGAAATTATTACTATTCAATATTACGGTTCATAATGGGTTAATTTTTTCGGTTTGTCTCTTACAATATGAACAGGTTGGTTACATTTGATTATGGTAATAGAAAATTAGTTACAAGACAAGCTTAGTGGTAATAAAATCTCGACAAAGCATCTATTAGATGGTACTCACAGCTTCCAGCCTTTTAGATTTCAGAAATGAATAGAGCCTTGAAAACAGTCTAACCGTCGGCCACTAAATCAACCCACCTGGAGTCGATATCCAAAGAAATAATGGTTCGGTAAATAAAAGGACATGCTAGTTCAGCATTGAAGGTAGTATGTAGTGGAAACTTAATCCTCAAAACAAATAGTTCTGTAGGTCATGAACACTGATTCTCATTTCAGCTGTTTTGCTGTAGACGCTCAGTCACGCATCCGCTTTAGATAACGAGTGGGTATACCGTGCTATACATCCCTTAAAATACTATCTAGCTAACATCAAACGCTTCTCACAAACGCTCCAAAAGTGTCTTCTAACTTGTTGACTTCTGACTGACTTGATGTTCTTCGATTATAAACGTGTCACATATGACAACATTATCAGACTCTGAATATCTGTGGCATCTCTAAGTTTATGTCATCTAAATAAAAAAACCTTTCCGAATTTAGACTTTTCTCAACACGATAACTTTGTTAACTTTTACACCATCGTGTAAGTACACAGGTCCGATTACACGTTTTCTATTACTGGCTGGACCTATCTAGAACTCATAAAACAAGTATACATATATATATATATATATATATATATATATATATCATAATTAGAAGTAGTCGAATTGATATAACTTGTTCAGGGTTGTCGACATGGCTTGATTATGGTATTCGGGACAGTTCTTCCTTCCTTCTATGCTCATTTTTGGCAACTGGATGTATTTTAACATGTTAATCACACTTAGGAATTTAAAACTACCTGTGGTCGTATTGACGTGTTTTTAGTGTGTAATTAAACCCCTAGTGGTTCTCTCTCGTGCTCTACTGAAAATCAACGGTCGTTTCCTCCATATTTATGGCCGTGACATTCCATCCAAAATCACACTGCCCCCATACATCACTTAAAAGGTCGACCTGACGCTATCTACAGTAGCTGTGCAGAGTGAACGTAATATCAGTGAATATAAACGAGCAGGTTCATTGATCCATCAGATATTTAATGATCTTGAAAAGTTTATCAGACCGGGCTTGTCTACTCAAGATATTGACGATTTCGTATTTAATCGGTGTCTGAGCAAGTCGGTATACCTATCGCCTTTAGGATATAAATGTTTCCTAAGGTCGGTCTGCACGTCGGTAAATAAAGTTGTTTGTCATGGAATCCCAAAAGAATCCCAAGTACTAAAATTAGGTGATATTATGTCTGTGGATATATCAGTTTATAATGGTTATGCCCATGGTGATATTTGTCACACCTTTGTAGCTGGTGTGGATAGTCACTCTGATTATTGTGATCTGGAAGCTGGTGCACAGATAAAAGCTGCTGTCTACTTGTGCACTGTCGCTCAAAAGTGTCATGATGCTGGTATCAGTGTTTGCGGTCCAAATGCTCCTTATACACCTATTGCGGAAGCAGTCACGAAATGTGCCGATGCATTTCAGTGCCCGTTTATGGTAGGCGAATGGGAACATGGAATCGGCCCATTTTTGCATCGACCATCAAAAGTAGTACATTCAACCCATGAGTTAGCTTACCAACCACTGGCACGTATGCTACCTAGACATACGTTCACTGTCAAACCGTGTATTTCTCTTCCTATCAACAAGTCCCGAGTAAAATTCGAACGGAATACAAGTCTCGCAGTTCCCGTTATCTTGGAAGATGGATGGGCAGTGGTCACTAGTGACAAAGCTTTGAGAGCTCAATTTTAACATAACATTTCATGTAAAAAACTGTTATTTGAGAATAAATTATTATTATTATCATCATATAACCAATAATAGCTCACAAATAGTTCAGTCTAGAGGTATAGAGCTCAGTCAACACAACTGAAGCCGTTGAATCTGAGATTCCTAATCGGGACAGAATAATTTAAAAAGAAATCATTAACAAAACAATAATATATTCTTGATTTACCGTCCTTCATATTAAATGTCGGTTGACTAGATGCAGTTAGAAATAAAAAAAAGCCATTGCATTCATTACGATCTACTGCAATCTCGCATTTTACACATTAATATTTAGCACCACTTTTAATAACTCCTCCTATCCTGCCATAAGATACATCGTTTTAGTCAGATTTCTAGCACCGCACATCTGATTAATTAGTGAGTTAATTAGAAACTTTATTTTTTATAAAATCTCGACAGCCTGTCATTTTTACAATACTCCCTACACTTATTCAAATTTCTGTTTCATTTTAGCCAACTGAACATCTCCTATGTAACTTGATATTCTCTGGGTTCATCAACAAAACCTCACCAGAACAAGTTCACTAATTATACTCTTGCCACACCAGCCTAAAGAGAGCAAGTAGGCTTACTAAGTCTAGTTCATAGGAGACTATTCTTATCGGTTCATAGCTGAATCCTTTAACTCCCCTTGAACACTAAGAAGGAAGCCTAAATGTATCGAGTAGTTCGCATTAGTTCATCGCGATTATTTTCGTTATTAAATGTTGAAATTGCGTCAACCGTCAGTGTGCTTGTATTTTCAGTCTGATGTGACTTCTTGAAATTCTCACTAATATCTGGAAATATCCAATTTTTGAGTGAGACATTGGAATATTTAGGCGCTTCCGAGGATACGAACTGCGTCTTCACCTTGCTGTTAGACAGCGAAAATAACAAATGTGACAACAACAATCTTACCAAGGTTGAATAACTGTGCTCTGGATTTAACTGGAGCGATCGATTAATCTCTCCCTAGTTGCTTCAACTATAATATATACACATCCATTTACTCGCAAACATGGCACTTACCGAGAGATAATGTAAAAACGGTCATAGATCACACTACGATTTCAAGTGATATTCAGATCCTGAACTTGATTAGTATATATCCACTTATTTATATTAATTTACTCTTTAGAAATTTTCATCATTCATACTTCCTCTTTAAAAGTTTCACCTTCTGATTTCAGTCTATCGATGGTTATGGACAACAATAGTGTTGCTACCAGTACCCACACTAAGCAATACTGTCTGTATTAGAGCCAAAACGCAGCAAAAAACAAATCCCTCACCACTAAACATAACTTTAGATTTGCCACGCGTTGCAGGAGAAATCTTAATGATATCCCAGAGACCATCAGTCGTCTGATACCTTCAAATCCGAGTTACACAGCGACAAACTGTGGGCCGTAAGGGATATCGCTAGAGGATAAACAAACACCCAAGAACCAACAAGCATGATGGTACACGGAGTGTCTGAGCTAGTGGGTGTTAGTCGATATGAAGCCCACAAACACTATGTAGAACAGTGCTGGGTATCACGTAGCATAAACCTTCACATCACGACGACAAACTGTCTATGTTACCCTGCCCATTACACTTTAGGATCATTGGTTCTTTGCGCCAAATGGCTGTGAACTTCATAAACCGAGAGGACTTAATTGAAGACCTTCAGGCCTGGGCAAACTCAAAAAATAATCTCTGAAGTCACATCAGATGCTGTGAGAGTCGGCATAGTTTGTAGAACAATAGCAAAAACACACCAAATAGGTTGGCCTTGATCAACAACACACCGTACAGAACGTAGAGGCATTCATTTCGCTTGCAGTACATTAGTTACAACCTAAAATCCTTCAACAGCCAGTTCTCCGGAGCTGATCATTCACTTGACTGAACAGTGGACTTAAAGCTTTGAAGACAAATGCTGATGCATACCAGGTTCAAGTAATGAAACCCCATCAAGTGCCTCACTATCAACATGAGGGGGCCGAAGGGCTAACCAGAATAGCTGAAGATTATAATCCTAACTGAAACATGGCTCTCGGTAAAAACATATGTAAACACGTGGTCATGCAAGATATATAAAACAGGTTTAATGGATATATACATGAACAGACACTTCAAAACCGTTGAACCACAATTAAACTGTATAACAGAACCGTGCTTGTGTTACTTCAATGTAAACGGCACAAAGTACTTGATCAAAGTCGGAACAAGGCGGCCTGCTTGAGCATCTGGGCTACCTGTTCCTGCCATCTAGATATTTCGACAAGTTATCTATCTTTGTTTGTTTTAATATATCATTATGTCTATTAATCGCACAATCTATTCTGCTGCGTTTCTGAAAAGTGTACAACCTTTCGTTGTCAAAGTTACAAAAAGCTCAAAAAGAGAGAATATTGTTGCTGGCAATATACAACGAAAAGAATGTACATTGTTCAGATATTCATTTACTGGACTGTTAACATCTAGCTGGCGATCACTCAGTATTTATCGCGAGGACCGACCAAGTAGAAAGAAACGGAAACTTGTTGAAATACTTTGTGCTGAGAATTCTATATTGTACCAATAATATAATATTGAATAAAGCTAATAATAATAATAATAATAATAATAATATACCCCTGAGCCTAGAAAAGTCACCAGGATGTTGCGACATCCGACCTTTGATCCCGAAACAGTAAGGGGAAGCCATTAGCACACAAGTGTATAGCCGGTTTAACCACTCACTAAATCTTCATCAGCTCCAAGAAATTTACAGTGGGCCGTTCCTTCTCTAATCTTCAGGGAGGGAGATAGAAAAGGTGGTTACAGACCAGTCGTTTTTCCCCAAAGTTGTAGAAGTTAATGGAAAAACTGGTCAATGAACAAATCAGGGAAATAATCAGTGAAAATAGTACCGTTTTTCACAACCAGTTGGCTTACTCGCCTTCTACACTTCGCATCGTTTTCATGCTTTTTGTTCTGAATGTCTGTTTGGATAAACGAGTGGTTGAAATAAAGCTATCCAACACAACCCGTATTTAGCTTCGCACTACTGTCGTCACACATACGGAGTTGAATGACAGATTTATATTCACAGGGCGTTCGTAAGTCCATACAAATCGTGATACTAATGCCCAACACAGGTTCGAGGAAGGCAGGTCACGTGCATCCATTCCACTCATAGCATCGGATACCTGGACAGTCTGCTGGAGCCATGTGATATGGGTTCATGTGTCATTACCAACTTCGCAAAAGCCTTTAAATTAATAACGTCTGCCATTCCCGCAGTGAACGTTGCAAGGATGGGATCCACCAACGTACTTCTATCCTGGTTACGAAGTTACCTAGTGGGCCGTGACATCAAAAGTTTCACAAGAAGCAAGTTATCTTGGGACACTAACTTGTGCAGACGATACAAAGATCTTGAGACCCATGAAAAGCCAAAAGAACTCACTTCAGCTTTAGGAGAATATAACAATAGTGGAGGAATATGCAGTAAAAAATGCGTTAAAATTTAATCTGTAGAAACGACATATTATGAGTGTTATGAGTGATCTTGGTCTAGTGACTACGTAGACATTAGTAAAGAGTTAACTATCAAACTGGGGGTGTAGACAAGGCAGAAGTAACCCTCCACTTTATGCGTAGACAACAACACAGAATTGTTACCAGTGCGAGCATATTACTAGAACGTCACCACCACACTCCTCGGGGGGTCCTCGAGAGATTGAAAATCAAAGAGCAAACAGTTAGGTACGCATCCACTTTTTCTCATTTGGAGTTGCCTCTATTTGAACTTATTTGTAGGCCGAAGTGACTACAGACCCTTCAGTGGATAGCTCAAACAGAATACTAGGCAAGCACGTACTCAAAAGTGCATTAACATTACCACTTTGGAATAGCTTTACCTGATCTATATATCATAACTTCCCTACAGTTATCATTACCACACATATTGTTAATTTCTCACATTCTCGCCAATTATCTTCTCTGTTTCTACCTTTATTCATACTTTTCGAACTAAACAGTGAATTGTGGGTAAAGAACTTTGTCTCTATTCAGTGGACCTTGTGTGTATGCACCTGCAGGACAGTGCCCAATGGATGATAATCCGGAAACGTTTATGTGTTGTATTTTGTCACAGGTCCTGAAACATAAAGTTGCCAGCCATTTCACATCACTTGACACTTTATCGAAAACAGCATTTCAGATGTACAGGTTTTACGAATGTATACGAAATAAGAGTTTTTTCCAATCATCAAGCGCACCAACATCTCGGTTCTTGTCTCCATACGTCAACGAAAAAGGACTTGCCAGACTGTATGACATCACAAAGCAAGGGTATTTTCACTTCATGAAAGACGAAATGCAAAAGCATTGTCGAAGAAAATAAGAATATGTATGTACTGATTTGAAGTTATAATTATTCACTGCTGTTCTATAGACGGAGTGTTTAGTATTAGCGAACGTAGCCGTAATTCATGCTTCAGGTTGACAGTTGTCTAACAAGTTACGGCAGTCTGACGTCGTTGTAGATTTTTGCGTTTATTAAATTTCGGAATTCATAGGGAGATTATTTTGGTTTGTAATAGTGACATCGCAGCCAAAGAAAGACTTCATCATTGAAATGTTGTTCATTGTTAACTTAACTATTAGTAAAGTTTTTTCTTACCATATGTTGAATTTTAGACTTGCGTGTGAAACTTCTGAACAGATGGAGTGTGTTGTGTAAGCCTGTTCGCTTTCTTCTGCACTTATTAATAACGATACATTGCTTAATAATAACCCACTACCTGTGATTCCTTCTGCAGATCTTCGTAAATAACATCAGGACTTATAACTTACGATGAAAATACATAACGATTGATGCTCCAGCATCTGTTTTTTTATTAATATCATTGTACAGTAGGGTGTTTTTTCTTGTCAATGATTGCCATTACCAATGTACCATTTTTTAAGGTAGTCGATTACATTCGCCGTATATATTGTCACGCAAATAAAGGAGAACATACGAGACATTTAGGGTTAGGCAAAGTGTGGACACGAAGGCGTGTGACTAAACGTGAATTAAAGATAGGCTAGTGTTCAGACGAGTAGTAGACTATTTGGTGTGCATTTAGGCGAAAAGTAGACATCTCAGCGACGCTCCCAACAGAGAGCAACAATAATGGAAAAATCCTCATTGTTTCTTCATGAAAGACGAAAAGGTAGTCATTCTGGCTTTTTTCTTCATCATTTACTCTTTATTTCCCAAAGTAATATACCTTTTGTCCTCCCTTGTTCACCTTTATTTCTCCTTTATTAGCCACTTGAGAACTACCATACTTTGAGCATTAATAAAAGCCTGAAGCCGTGACATAACAGCAAAAAACAAGAGCTAAAGAAATTAAGCTCGTGACAAGGATAATAGATGTTGGATATTGGAAGGCCTGTACAACCTTGAAAGTGGCAGCAATTTGATTAACTTTGACATTTGTTTGTCGTTTGGTTGCTTCTTTGAGGTCTGGAGTTTAGACCTTCTAACTATCCTTTTATTTACTTTTATTAGTTGTCGAATCATGATAGTTAGAAGTAATAGAATTGATATGCTAGCTAAGAATCCTCGTAATAGTGCTATTTGAGACAGGTAGAAATAGATGAACGTATTGTATTTGGAATTCATAATGAGGGGAAAAATAAAGTACAAAATATTCATTAGTTCTTACAAATACCACGACTACCATAGCCTTAGTAAGAATACAAATCTCTGTAGTTTATTGTACTTCTCCTTAGGTTCGTCACATGCTGACCCAATACACAGTTGGACAGATATTATCTGTCCAACTGTGTATTGTATATGGACTCGTATGATCTAAAATGTTCTCTTTAGTATTAGCATTGAGCCTATGAGCAATGAACAGATGTCTGCACGCTATGCCATTCGACCAGATAGTGACTGTCTGCAGCAAAATGAGGGCCATTATCAGTCACCAGTACCATAAGAACCCCTTCCCGACTAGAAACGTTTCTCAATGTTTGAATTGTTAAGTCAATATGGCGAAGTTGGGAAAAAGCTTCAAATCACTCAGTAAAAGAACCAACGGCAACAAGTTCACAGCATTTGCCGAGAAATGGACCACTATAGTCTGCATGAATTCTCTGCCAGGCCTTATACGATACTGGTCATGGATGATTTTTTGACTTACGACATCTTCCACGATTGCTTTCTGTATGACATCTGGATTTATCTCCAGCCACCAACATATGAGCCTTTCCTATATGTTCACTATGAGGATCTTCAATGACAGATTCACTTAATGTAGGAGGAATAACCGCACAATAATTTAAACACAAAATACCATCAGGAGTAGTGAATAACTCATCCCGCTTTTAAAAAACAGACAGGAAATCTGCGTTTCAGGTTAGAATTTCAACTTATTTTTTACAGCATTGAGTTTGTATACAAAGCATCGCTTCATATCTGGTTTAAAACCGTTATCGTCAACCAGTTATCCAAGACATTAAAAACTAAATACACAAAATGGACACTTACTTGGATTTTTCGTGATATTCTTCCCAATTAAACGATTCTATAAAACAAGTATCTGATCATGAGCTACTTTATCAGAGCCATGGGTAATAAGGTCATCTTGATAAACTTCAAGATCGCTGACTACATTATTCATCACTTCCTGAAATATGGCTGGAAAGCAACTTAAACCAGATAAAAGTTGTGTTTGAATAGACCAAAAGGAGTATTAATTGTCAAAATAGATGAAGATTGATCTAAGGAAATTTGAAGTCAACTTTCGAGAGTACCTTAGAACCATGAAGTTGATTAATAATATCTTCAGCTTCCACTGTCGTTCAAACAACAAACGAGAGTCCAATGTTAATCTATAGTCACCACATATTCTAGGGGTCTTGCCCTCAGGCTTCAATGGCGTAACAATAGGAGTAACCCATACTAAAGGCTGGATCGATTCAATTATACTTTTCGCACACAGATTGTTCAATGTTTTGTGTACTGCTTCCCGAAGACCGTAAGAAATTATTCGTCTTTTAAGAAAAAACTAGAACACCCTGTGTTTTAATTTTTATGGGCTGAATTCTCATTGCTCCACTGCAGTTAGCACACGCAGCTATCAAATCTTTAGGTAGAGCATTAAAATCTTCCCTAGAAACTAAGAAAAACAACTCTAAGCCTTTTCAAATTTTTCAAACCCATTATTGATTATCCTGTTTCACTAACTAAAAACTCACAAAACATGTATGAAAAATTATCATCTCGTAATATCAATTCACAGCATCCTCGTTTGGGCAGATTGTGTCCAGTAATCCCCAGTACAGAAACTTCAGTGGATCGTACTACAACGTTAAAATCCAAAGATTTTAAGTTCTTGAATGAAATAATGGACTTTATATTGCCTATGTCAACAATAAAGTCATGGAATGAACCAAGGGAGATATATAAACGCTTCCGAATATGGAAATTACCTTTCGAACATTTTACGTGCTCCAGTCTGTAATTAGATAGGCTGGGACCGAAATATTATATGATATATATCTTAAGTATTAGGAATGGTTATTGGACATTTTAATTGTCATCGTTTCTTGCTTGACTAAATATCCTATTTATAGTGGTTGGCTTCAAATTATTTTTGTATGCTTTTTTGATGAAGTTAGGTTATAAGTATACAATTTAGCATCATTGTGTTGCTGTTGCATTTTCCAAAAATTTACCGGAAATTTTCAATGGGACTATCCAAAAATTTACTTAAATCTGATCAATTTTGTCCCGAAATTGGGAGCTTGCGATTGTTTTCAAGAAATCAGTCCATGAACTTAGCACAAAATCTGTCTATGGTAAACACAGTATTCTTCATATTCCAGACATATTTCGAGAAATGATATTTCACAGGCTCGTTCATACGTAATCCCTCTTGAGTTTCTTTTGCACAGTTGTATTGCAGGTAATCACAAGCACTAAATAACTTTACGCTCGTATCCTCTTTCTATTATGCGCCACAGATTACTAGTTCAATGCTACTGGCCCACCCATATAAGGTTTACTCAAGCGTTTCCATATCTTTCCACTTGTTTATTTTTAGATGTGACACACGGATTTTACACTCTAAGAACACCAGCGTACGTCTCCATTATGTAGACGTTTCATAGTGTTAACCTATAGACTAACAGACTTATTTCATTTACGAAGTTACTGTTTAAATTTAAAGCTAGGTGCATGAAAGACAACTGTAGGCTTTTAACGTCTGGTGGATGGACTTATGATCGAAATTAACATGCGTCATTTTTCGTTATTCCTTCGATATATATTCTCTTATCGGCTAAATAGCAACCATTCTAAGTCCCTTATCAATCCTGTATCTAATATCTAGCTTAGTTGATAAGACAGACGATGGACATTGGGATAGTTAAAACAATGGGGATAAGTGCTTCCATATTTTGAACTTTCATTGTCTCTGACAGTTACGTACATTTTGAACTTTCGGTTCGTGTCTTGTTCACGTTTTATTAATTTTCATTTCATTTTCTCGTTATCATTCCATACCAAAGGCTGACATGAAAAATCCAATCGAATTAAAAACTAAAGCTAATGAGCTTTTTAAAAAAGGGCTATACCGAGAAGCTATTGGCTTATATGACGAATGCCTTGGTTTATATGGGGTTGATAAGAGTATGAAATTGGTGTTACAACGCAACAAAGCCCAGTGTTTTTTAAACCTGAGAAACTTTGGTGACGCCCTGACGGCTGCCCTGGAAGGTTTGTTTTCTTTCAAATAGTTAGCTAATTACATTTAGCTCTCAGTATCTCTCCTGGTGATCCAAAGGCGCTCTATCGTTGTGCACAAGCATATGAAGGTAAAGGAATGTTAAAAGAAGCTTTAGAAACTGGAAGAAGGCTTATTCTGGTTGACCCTAAGAATAAAGCAGCTCAGAATCTGACTCACAAACTGGAAACTTCAGTTGCTTCGTACGTCGCAGAATCTGAAAGCCTTACAGGGAAACTAAACAAGATGTTCGACATCGTAAATGACAACTCCAGCTCTGCCGATCAAATAGAACAGGTATATTAAAATTCCTTCCGATCGTATCATTAACCATTAAAGGCTATAGTTAATTTATCTATCTTGATAAAAGAAAACCCTAAAGTTGCAAGTTCACTGATCTGGACAAATCCCAATTTGTCGAAGATTTATTCCGTTTGCCGGAACTTTAATCATAAGTTGACCATTGCTTGTCATCGTTTGTTGCC